TTTTTTTTGTAAAATTTTATTATATAATTTTTTTGTGTGTGTTAGTATTAAAATAAATAAATGTATTTATTATTATTGATTTTAAATAAATAACTAAAATTTAAATAATACGTAAAGTTATAAAATAATATTATTTTTAAATATTTTCCTTAAGTGGAAATTTGTTATTCTACTTTTTTTTTTTTTTGAAAAATGGGGTTCTAATTTCTAAGGCCTGAAATTCAGCGTTTGTAGCATTTGCTACGTTACATTTACTGGTACCGAATTAAGGTTGGGGAATTTATGTTGCCACTTCCATCGTTGGTGAGGCTCATTTAATGGGTTAGACTTTTTTTTTGTTCATGTGTCGAGAAAGAGACCAAAAACAGAGAATATCATTAACTAGGGTTAGGTTCATATATTCATTCCTTCCTTCTGTTTAATTATTATATATAATCCTTGAAAATTGATTTTCACATGTATATAAATTTACGAGATTAAGTAGCTACTGTTTATAATTTGGATCTTTAAAAAAATTTTTTTTAAAAAGCATGAGTTTGTTTAATTTGTACCTTTATATTTAATTTACGTAAAAAATAATTAAAATTAACGTTTATTTTAGTGTTATTATAATATGAACAGTTTTAATTACTCAATTAATTAAATTTAAATTAACTTTTATCATTTTTTATATATGTTAATTATAAAAAAGTATATTTATTGCATTTTTATCTTGTGTTTTAAAAGCACACAGGATAGAAAATCCCAAAAAACACATACAAAATTATATTATTTTAATAAAATATTTAAAGGAGACTAAAACAATTTTTTTATTGCTTTAAAAATAAATTATTTAAGTCTTTTTTAACATAATTCATTAAAATAATGTACATTTGAAGCACTTGACCCTTCGTGCATTCCTCTCTCTCTTGAGCAGGCTTCAAACCCGTTCCATGACACCTTATTCAAAAAAATAATAATAATAATGTACTTTTGAAATATATATCCTCTTACTTTTTAAAATATAGGTCTAATAAACATTTTTCCTTAATCTTACTTCACAAAAGAGTTTTACAATTCTCCATTCGAGTAATTATAATTTTTTTTTCATTAGTTAATTATGCACATAAATCAACATGTATACACCCCTGTAAAGTTATCACGCAATCATTATTGTAAGACTTGTTCTACTTGTCTAAATTAAACCATTTTATGTACATGATTTTTCCTTTTCTTTTTCCTTTTTTTTTTTTTGATATCAATATCATTTTTTTTTTTCCTTTGATCACTTAATCATTTCAAAGATAATATGATTTAAAAAGCTTAGTTGTGAACTTATAATGAAATGGGAGAATTGTGGCCAAAAATTTTTTTAAAAAAAAATTGAAAAGGGAGAATAGAATGCTAGATATGAGACAAAGAATGTCAAAAAAGCAATTAGATTAAATGAATGAATAGAATCATTGTATCATTAGAATGTACTTGTAAGGATGATTAGCAAATCATTCATTAAATTAAAGCTCAAATGATAAAACTAATCAAACCTTTTACCCAAAAATTCCACCTCAGCAAATGCCAAGGATCCACCTGGCAACTTTTCAGACAATGCCACATCATCCACTTAATCAGTTAATCTCAGTGGGGGTCAGCTTGTAATTGTCATTCATGTTTTTGTCTTCACAAGAGACAAGCCCTTAATTAAGGATTAAGGGACACTGGTTTTCAGGGGCACACCCCCTTTTTCAGCCCGTGTGCAGCAGCATTAGATATGGGTACGAACGTGCAATTTTAAAAGGAAAAGGAAGAAGGAAAAGAATCAGGGCAAAGTTCCACTAAGATATGTTTAGAAATCGATGGTTTCTGATTAAAAGTTCCAAATACATGTTATTAAGCAGAAAAAGACATGGGTCTGAGTGCACCTTATGAAAAGAATAAAATTTCAACTCAGACGCAACTAAGCTTCTCTTCTCTTTTGTATGGGACCCAACCCAAGAAAAATACATTAGGATGCAGGGTATGGCTGACCCTTATTTAATTTCCTGCTAAAATGTCTTCTTGAAGATGATGCTTCTCAATTTTTTGTTTTCTTTTCAAATATATATTTTGATTAATTCCCAGATACAAAGTTACTAATAAAACTTTCAAATTTTCAATATGAACTTAATTTAATACATGGTAGAATCTCAGGTTTGAATTACCCATCTTCAATTTAGTACACAACTTTTACCAACAAAACTATATCATGTCTTTAATGGTTTTCCCTACCATTACTAGGCGTGTAGCGCAAATTGGTAACATGGAGATCAGCAATCAAAGGAAGAGCAGATTTGTTAATTATATTGTGTTGGGGATACAGGTGAACTACTGAGATATCTAAATGTGAAGAAGTTAAGAAAAGGGTAGGCTGGGAAGTAGCCGGGAACCCCTTGATTGGTGCATTACAAGGGCCCTATGTTTTTAAAAATTAAATGACGGAATGATGCTATGCTAAGAATGGTTTGTTTATTGTTAGTGGTAAATTTTGGTGCTCTTTTTGTTTGTATTAGACACATTTTCCAGTTTCCACGGCCTAAAGAATTGAGGAAAAAGGCCAATTGTCTAAGACAACGAAGACTCTGAAGGGAAACAAAAAGCACAAAGTAGGTTTAGCCCAAAAAAAAAAAACTCAGAGCGGGATTTTGTGGGCTCTTTGCCAAATACCTCATGATTACTATATACTATTCAAAAATAGGAAAGTACTGCTATGCTGCTAGCCATGTTTTGTTAGGGACAGCAGCCCTAGCCATCATATTATTATTTCTAAAACTGTGGTCCTAGAAGATGGGGTAGACCGTGGACGGGGAGCGGAGCTGCATTCATTCACGTTAATGCCTATATGGGAACTCGTCACACAAATATTATCTTCACTTTGGAAATAAATTTGGAAGACGTTTGTTCATTAACTCGGCTTCATTCTCACCATAGTTTTTTTACGTCTGCTTCCGCAAGTGGTTTTTACCTTTTATAACATAAAAAGTGTTGTTTTAAGCATCCAAAAATAGAAAACTTGCAGGTTGCTCATTTACTAATTTTCAATGCAAAATAATGGAGACTGACTAGCTAGTAAGTAGCCCGATTTGGATCTGAAAACGTAATCTATATGCCTTAAAATAAGATGAAATAATTATCAGACAATCAGTCTACTTTCAAAGACTTGAGGTCCACATGCTATTCATTGGTCATGTGGAGGCCCATATAAGTTACTCAAAACTTTGTACTTTAGGCCTCAATTTCCGTGGACTTGACTTCTTGCGCAGAAAGGGGTTTGATAAAACGTCTTCTGTGTTCGGACTAGAGAGGGAGTAGGAGTGGGAATGGGGCCGTGAGGGTATCTCTGAAGTAAAATACTACAGTTTTAGGTTTTTAAGACAATTTCTCATTCAAACAACTTAAACCATTATTCTTAGATGCGGGATTAGGGTCCACCCGAATCAAGAGACACACCACATATTGATTCATAATAAAAAAGAACTATCCCACCGAGTAATAAGGCCACCATACCCTGCATAGCAGCTAGCTAGCTAGCCCATTGCATACTTTTGGGTCCAGCTCCTTGCAGTTGTCTCATACTTGCTCCTGTCGGTCTTGTACATGTGCGCAATCTCCGGTACCAAGGGGTCATCAGGATTTGGGTCTGTCAACAGCGAACAAATTGAAAGCAACACCTGAAACCAAATACACATGTAGCCCAAACATAAAATTGTAGACTAATGGAAGATATTAGAGAACTAGAGATATGGTAGCATCGTCTCTGAAAGAAGCAATGGATGAATTTGGTCCTCTTGTAAGTTGTAGGTTGAAGCTAATAAGGGAAACTATCGCAACTGAAACTAAAAATAGAAATTCATTCATGCCTTTCATGATTGAAGCCACTCTAAGTTCATCCTACAGTATTTGAGAAATTCAGTGTCTTCTGCCTATCAGATTATTCTAGAACTTAATGAAAGTACTATGAAAATTTATGCATGTTATAAACTAGTATACATTGACTTCTATTAAGAGTATTAACCAATAACCTTGGATATGGTTAGGGCAGGGCTCCACTGTTCCTTCAAAATATCGAGGCAAATGCTACCATTGCTGTTGATATTAGGGTGAAACACCTTTGTCCTAAATGCAACCTGCAAAACCAGAGAAAGCAAACATGATAATGTAAAGATTGAGCTGGAAGAGTTCTGTAGAAATTATGGGAGCAATCTCACCAAATAATGACTACACTAGCATGTGTAAACTTTGCCATAAGTTGAACACACATTTATGAAGGTCATAGCCAAGAGCTCAGTTCAGCACTGTTAGCTCCTGCTAAGTGCCAATGTTAAAGATAAATCTCTTGCTAACCATACAGTTGAAGCAATTAACACATTTAAAGTCGGTCATGACGTTATTACATAAAATGATTCTAAGGACCTACTTGTCATATGGATGTCATAAAAA